TAACGGGGCGTGAGCGAAACTTAACGAGTCACCCTCCTCTCTGGTCTGTTCTCACTCCTGACTTCTGGAAATGGTCTACGGAATGAAGAAAAAGCCCAGAGCCGGTGGGGGAAGGGCTCAGACCTTTGTGCCATGTTGGGAGCTGTAATCTGGGCTCCCACTGGCCTCTGCTACCTTGTCTTTGGTGACCTCTAGAGTGTAGTCAATGGGGGCAGGGGCAGAAAGGGGTATTTGCCCCCTTGTGGCAAGTCCCAGGAGATTCCAGAGAGGCTGTGGAATGACATCCTGAGGTGCCTCATCAAATATAAAAGGTGCCTGCCTGGCTGAGGCAGTCGGACAAGAGAGGGGAAAGTGTTTCTGCTGGCATGTCGTCACCATCAGTGTCTATTCACCCTGGAATGGGGAGGGCTGGGAGAGTACATAATTCAGGGACTGGTCCTGGCCTGGGCTATCCTCCTGATGCTCCTGCCGGTCACCACCACCCTGCTATTCTCAGGTCCTGAGAGCGTAGGCTGGAGATCTCCAGTGTCCTCTGTGTGGAATAGCCCACCCTCCATTCCCACTCCATCCCCTGCTCCTCTGATCACGTGCGCTCTCGCCAGCACTGCCTAGGCTTGGGCTCCCCACTGCATCCTCCAGGTACCCCTGCTCAATCTGGGAGGCCTCTGATATAGGGTCCCCTGGTCCCCAGCGCAGCACCCACTAGCCTGTGCTTCGTGCTCACCAAACCCAACCCACTTCCGACACCTTGATTTTCGATTCCTAGTGATGCTGTAGGACAGGACAGAGCTGCGCCACGGGGTTTCCAAGGCTGTAACTATTCACGGGAAAGGATTGCTGCATGATTCAGCTGGGCGGTTCGAACTGCCAACTGTTGGGGTAGCAGCCACGGACTTAACCACCGTGTGCTTCCTTCTGCGGGTGCTGGCAGAAGCATACGGAGAGGGGCGGATTGCAAGCTGCGGATACCCTGCAGCAGGATCTCATGTTCCTCTCCCTCCTCCAGGCGGCTGGATCCTGGGCCCAGCTCGGTTGGAGACTTCTCCAGGAGGTGGGCAGTCTCCCAGGTAGGCCAGGAGAAGTGGGCTTCTAGCTCCTCCTGCCTGGGGATGTGGGGGGAGGTCAGATGCGCAGGCTAAGGCCCAAGGGTGGGGAGCACTGACACGCTTGTGCTAACTTCTTAGCCTGCCTCTTTCTCCAGTCATTTCTTTTCCTCTTTTTTTATAAATAAATCATTTTATTGGGGGCTCTTACAGCTCTTAGAACCATCAAGCACATTTGTACCTATGTTGCCGTCATCATTTTTAAAATAGTTTCCTTCTGCTTGAACCCTTGGTACCAGTTCCTTTATCCCCCCACCCCCTGCCCTCATGGACTGCTGATAAATTATAAATTATTATTATTTTCACATCTTACGCTGCCCGCTGTCTCCCTTCGTCCATGTTATTGTTGTTTGGGGCCTTGGGGAGGCAGGGTGGGCATGGGGGTGGCAGGGATTGGGCGTCATTGTAGTGGGTTCCCCGTTTTTACATCATTTATTTTCATCTCTCCAGGTCCTATTTACTCTTTGAATCTTAGCTTCATGTCCCTTCCTCCAGGAGGCTTTCCATAGCGTGTTAAATGATAATCCGACTAACTTTCACAAGGGCAGAGGCTGTGTTTTGTTCTCATCTGTACTCTGAGGCAAAAACCCAAACTCACGGCCATCAAGTGGAGGCCAACCCCTAGCGGTCCTACAGGACATAACAGAACTGGGGCCCCAGTGGGTAACACGGTGTCCAGCACGCAGTGACAACATAGGGCAGAAACGCAGTAGAGATGTGTCAAATATCCCTCCCCCCAGAAGAATTTATTTCAGAGGACAGCACTGAATCTGCAGCTCTGGGAGAGGGACATGTCTGATTAGAGCACACGGGAGCAAATGAAGGGGGGCGGGGGAGTGGAGCACATCTCGGCCCACCAAGCCTTGACGACGATATTCCTGCTCAGAGCAGCCAATCCACACAGAGAACCATATGGCCTCCCCACTATGAGACACGACATCCCTCACTGACCCATAGCCCTACAGGGGACAACACTGGAGACACAGTATGGGAATTCCGCCTGATCTGATCCCACCACACCAAGGCAAAACACTAAGGGCCTGGAATAGAACAGCAAGGGTAACAGAGCAACGAGGTTCCCAGGGAATACCAAAAATAGACTTTGGGGCCAGGGCTTGGCGCCCCATCAAACTCGACCAGAAAACACTCCTAAAGGCCAACAAACAGTCCTTGAACTAACTACAGGCTTTTCTTTCTTGTTGTGTTTTGTTTTTGTCCTCGGCTTGTTGTTATTGTTTTGTTTTATTTTGTGGCTCTGTCTTGTTTTTGTGCATGTTATTATCTCCACAGGTTTGTCTAAATAAAATAGGCTGGATGAACAATCTGGAGGAGACAACAATGGGACCTACAGTTCCAGGGGGACATGGGAGAGAAGAAGGTGGGGGGAAAGGAAGTGGTGTTAACAAGCCCAGGGACAAGGGAATAACAAGTGATCCAAACTGGTGGTGAGGAGGGTGTAGGAGGCCTGGTAGGGCATGACCAAGGGTAATGTAACCGAGAGGAATTACTGAAACCCAAATGAAGGCTGAACATGATAGTGGGACAAGAGGAAAGTAAAAGGAAATAGAG